ATATTTATAATGAATTTTAATAATTTTTTCGAATTTTTTTTAAGCGTTATTCTGACCGATTCACCCGATTCCCGATCCGGATCGCCGATTCGCCGATCCGGATCGGTTTTTTGGAAGCCCGATCCGGGTCATCGATCCGTTTTTTAAACCATTGGGCACACCTATTAAAAATAAATTTTCGATAAAATATAATGACCGAAATACCTTTTGAAACTTTCAGTGGTATTTTGGTTGTTTTATTTTATTGAAAATATTCTTTTAATATTTTTCGCTAGTGCGAGTTTAATAGATGAATGGACATCCAAAATTTGGTATCAAAATAGTTTATAAAAAATAATTAAAAATAAAATAATATATACGTGACATTGTGATTGGGGTAATCTTAGCCCTCCATTTGAATTGACGGTTGGATAAGGGGAAGTATACAAGTTTTATGCTGTAGGGTAAGCCTAGAAAAGTTTCCCTTTATTTGATTGGTACTTTTTATTTTATTTTATTTTATGACAAAAAGAATTTGTTTTTGAGAAGAAAAATAAGAAGATGGTACGTTTTATTGTTTTTGACAGGAAAAATAAGAAGATGGTACGTTTTATTTTTAAAAAAAAGCTTGCCCTTTATTTTATTTATTGGTACCTTTTATTTTATTTTATTTTATTTTTTGAGAAAAATAATTTATTTTTGACAAAAATAATTTATTTTTGACAAGAAAATAGGAAGACGATATGGTTTTTATTTTATTGGTACCTTTTATTATATTTTATTTTTTGATAAAAAGAATTTTTTTTTGACAAGAAAAATAAGAAGATGGTACATTTTATTTTTTAAAAAAAGCCTTCCCTTTATTTTATTTATTGACACCTTTTATTTTATTTTATTTTTGAGAAAAATAATTTTTTTTTGACAAGAAAAATAAGAGGATGATACAATTTTATTTTTTAAAAAAAGCTTGCCCTTTATTTGTCCTTTATTTTATTTATTGGTACCTTTTATTTTATTTTATTTTATTTTTTGACAAAAATTTTTTTTTTTTAACAAGAAAAATAAGAAGATGATAAATTTTTTATTTTATTGGTACCTTTTATTTTATTTTATGTTTTGATAAAAAGAATTTGTTTTTTACAAGAAAAATAAGAAGATGGTACGTTTTATTTTTTAAAACAAGCTTGCCCTTTATTTTATTTATTGGTACATTTAAATGTTTATTTTATTTATTGGTACCGTTTATTTTATTTTATTTTTTGACAAAAAGAATTTGTTTTTGAGACACGTTTTACTTTTTTAAAAAAAAATGTTGTGTAGGTTCAAACTAGAGACCTCTAGCGTGTAAAATATACTTGATAACCACTACATCACAACACTACTTTATGTATTAAGTTTGATAATAAAAGGCTATATTATCCTTTCAAACTATTACAATGGGAATTGTTGCCCATCGAAAACCTCAACGAAAAATAATGTGTATAAATTATATGAGGACCAGCACATTAATAACAATTGAATGGGGCATGGGTCTCGCGATGGTCAGTGTGGTGACATCAACTCGTAAGGATAGAGTCTCCCTACTTTGAAAAAAAATATATCAATTACCCTTGCAAAAAAAATTGATTTATCAGACTCGGGACGGAAGAGAGAAAAATTAAAGTCTGGTTCTAGAGAAGAGAACCGAATGAACCAAACGGGGCGATCGTGGAACCGGACAATCGCGGCATTTTAAATCACTAATAAAGTCTGGTTCTAAAGAAGAGAACCGAACGAACCGTTCTAGAGAAGAGAACCGAACGAACCAAACCCCCAAACACGCCCCAGGCCCAGCTCAGGGGCAAAGAAAAGAAAGTAATTGAAGATTCCCCTTCCAATTATGAGAATCCTTTCTCCCCTCTTACTCCCCTCGATATAGATATTGTTGGAGAAGCATGTTTAAGGCAGTGCCGATGCAACAAGAGAGAACCGAACGAACTGAACCCCCTTACTCCCCTTGATATTCCAATGATGAGAATCCTCTTGATATTCCAATGATGAGAATCCTTTCTCCCCTCTTACTCCCCTCAATATTCCAATGATGAGAATCCTTTCTCCTCTCTTACTCCCCTCGATATGAATGATGTTGGAGAAGCATGTTTAAGGCAGTGCAGATGCAGCTGGAAAAGATATTCTAAATAAAGATGTAAAAAATCTTGTTTCCAAGCAATTTTTTGCCCGATGGCAAGCAATTTTATCCTCCTTTGAATTCGATATTGAACACATCAAAGGAAATTATAATTTCCTTCCTGACTTTTTAACCCGTGAATTTTTGCAGGGGGGACAGGAATAGAGACAATGAAAAACGAATAATACTTCATAGACCTCATACAAATAAAGGAAAAGACAAGATGGAAATAGTTCCATCATCATCCAAAATCCCAATAATATCTTCTCCTAAAACCCCAAAACAGTTAATAAAAAGACAAGCCCATGATATAGTTTCCTCTCCTAGCCCAGTACCGGTGACCAAAACACCAATAGAAAAATCAAGATTCATAGAGACCACCTTCATATCCGAAATAGTAATAGAAGATTCTCATCTGGATATGGATCCACTTAACATAGCCCATATATATTTAAATAATCATTTGCATCCCTCAAATAATAATAAGACCAGAGAATGGTATAAAGCCATTTTTTTGGAAACCGGA